ACGGAGAGGAGCTGGTTTTTGCCAGAGGCTCCCTTGAAGGGCGGACAGCCGAGGGCTGGATCCGTTCCTGGGCTGAAGTGCAGCAGCTCCTGTGGGCTGTGTTTGAGAGCAGATGGCTGGCAGGAGGGGAGGGTTGTGCGGGTCTTAAGGCAGATCCGGGAAGGAACGGTAACCGGGGTGGTTTGGACATGGAGCGTGTTTCTGAAGGGTGACATGGCCTGATTGCTGGTAGGAAACTGGAACTCAGTCAGCCGTTTTCCCCCTTGCTGGGAAGAGCAGTCAGATCTCACAAATGCTTCCCTATGCACATCGGTGCTGCACCAAGGTGGCGAGGGCTGGGAGAAGGGAGAATTGCTTGTTCCAGCCTCTGATCTCTGCTGTAGGCAATAAAAACCTTTGATAAATACAGCAGGTGGGAGCGGAGAGGCTGGTCTGAAGCAGTCCATCCCTTCTCTTAGCAATCTGCTGACTCCGGCAGGGCACGAAATCCTGGCCACGAAAACGCCATGTTCCTGCCTGGGTACTAAGCGGTGGCCCTCACCCCAACAGGCTCAGGGGTGAGGGGGAAGGCTGCTCACATCCCCTTGCAGTTACTCCCCTGTCTGCAGCGGGTGTGGGGCCTTGGGAGAAAGCCACCTTCAGGTGACCACTTGGCTCTCCAGCGAGATACCTTGCCCTCTGGCATTGCTCCTCTCCCAGCTGGCTGGAGAGGACTCATGGCAGCCGAAGGTCCCAGCTACCTCTGATGCAGGGAGCTGACTTTGTGCGGGGCTGGACATCCCCACGGGTCTGGGGCAGCTCTCCGGGTCCCTGCTGCACCCAGCCGAACCGCAGCAGGAGGGCAGCGACCTGATGAGGTCTCTGCGGCGTGGCGGAGACTGGCGTTAACGTGCTTCTGCCTGGCCACAGAGTATCCTGGAGCAGTTCAACCCCGCGCTGGAGAATCTGGTGTACCTGGGGAACAACTACCTGCGTGCCTTCCACGGTGAGTGGGGTCCCGCATGGCCCACGCTCCTGGTCATGCTGCTCTGTCCATCCTGAATGTCCACTGTGCGTCAGGAGGGACTGCTGTCACCCAGGGCAGGGCTGCTGGTCCCCCCCATGGCGTGTCCTCAGCTGCTCTTATTCACTTTCCCCCTGCTCCAGGACCCGCTGCTGTCGTTAGGCACAGATGGGGAGACAGGGTGCCCTTGCCTATAGGCGAGGTACCAAGGGTTGTCTGTCCTGTGTGCTGCGTGCTGGGGCTGGTGATGGTGGGAAGGCAGGCCAGATCCTCACCTCCCCTCTCCTCTCCTCACAGCGTTATCCAAAGCGGCCGAAGTGTATTTTAAGGCAATCGAGAAGATTGGAGAGCAAGCGCTGCAGAGCTCCACCTCACATGTGCTGGGTAAGGCCCTCCCACTTGCTGTCCTCTGTCCTGTGATGAGCCACAGTTACATTTTTTTGGCCTTCCCCCTTAGCTAGACCTTCCCAGGTACTGGGGGAAGGAAGTCAGCTCCTCTAAACAGTGTTTCACAGCACCAGGCCCTGTCCATCCAGTGAGAGTGAAATTTATTGTGTATCGTTGAACATCCCCCAAGGCCCCAGCACTCTCTCTTGTATCTCTCTGAGATCAATGACTGAGCCCAGCTTCTGAGATGGACCTCTCATGGAAACCAGTCCTCGCTGAGGCATCCTGCCCCAGAGCTGAAGTTTTCACCTTGGAGGAACCATTTTGCTCCTCCTTGCAGGTGTGAGGGAAAAGCTGGAGAGCACGGACTGAGAGCAGCTGATGGGATGTTGTCCTCCTGAGCCTGCAGCCAGCTGAAACAGCAGCTCGGAGCTGAGGGTCTTACATTCAGCTGCACAAATAATTCTGCAGCCTAATGACGGCTGCTGGAAATACATTCAGGCAACTCCTCTGATACTTAACATTTTAGTAAAAATCTTTCAGCAGACGTGTCCCTTCTGCAGACTCATACCCTCATCTGCACCAGCCAGCTCACTCTTCTGCTCCCCATCATCAGTCTCGTCCCTTCGCAGTTTCGTAACGCCAACATGGTGAAGTGGGACCGCATGCAGCATCAGCAGCAGGTGCTGTAGCTGCTCTCCTGCGGGACAGCCAGAACTGTGCACCATACCTGGGGTGCCACTGGGGGTGGAAATGGGGCTCGCAGGGGCTGTGACAGAGCAGAAACCCAGCACCCAGAGCCCAAGGCAGAGCCGAGGCTTCCCGCTGGCACCATGTGCTGTAGCAGAGCGCTGCTCTGGCAGGTTCATGGGCTGGAGCAACCCTGCGTTGGCAGTGCCTGGGGAGCGGTGGTGGAGCTGAGCCCTGGGGAGGAAGGCTACCAGCCTCTTTCAGGGTGCAGAGAGCAGTGCATTGTGATATCTGTTGGACTTTCATACCCGTATATCATCCAGCCTGAGTCGCACGCTACTGGTCTGCCTTGTTGGGTGCACAAGGAAATGGCTGCCGGACTTTTCCACCCTCTTCTGTCTCTTTCCCCAAAGGTGAAATTCTGATGCAGATGTCTGACGCGCAGCGACTCCTGAGCTCTGACTTGGAAGTTGTGGTGAGTGGTTTTCCCAGGGGTTGGTGCAGGTGGGGAAAGAAGGGACTTCCTTAACCACAGCGTGCCGGCATTTGCCCGATTTGCTGCATCTCCCGCCCTCTGACATGCCTGCTGGCAGGGGGGGGCCGGCCCCCTGTGCTCGCTCTACTTTTTTGGCCTGCGGGCGGGGCCCTGCCTCCCTGCTGTCCCTGCTGCATGTGACAGAGCTGGCATGCCTCCTGCCTGGCTGTTGTTAGGTCTTTGGTGCCGCTGGTGGACTGTCACCACCTCTCCACAAGCACAGTGGCAGGGGTGCAGTAGACTGAGCAATGCCCGGCTCTGCAGATGTGGCGAGGCCGTCCCCTTGTTCCCTGGGTGGCAGTGGTGGGACAGCAGCGGAGGGGATGCTGACCCTTCCAGACACTGCTGTTTGTGCCCGTGCCGAAACTCAGGGCTTAATGATCGGGTGGGTTCTGGGTGTCGACCCCCAGGCTGCAGGGCTGCTCCGTGGTAGCCCTAACGTGCCCATTTCTGGCTTCTCTGTGGCGTCCAGGTGGCAAAGGAGTCACTAGCTCATGTGGTGAAGGGATGGGGGTGATGACTCCTTGGCCTCTTCCTGGTGAAGGGATGAGGGTGATGACTCCTTCGCCTCTTCCAGGCTCAGACCTTCCACGTGGACCTGCTGCAGCACATGGAGAAGAACACCAAAATGGATGTGCAGTTCATCAGTGTGAGTGATGAACTCCCTTCTCCTCCTCAACTCTCCTTGTTTCCCTCTCCCCTTTACCCAAGGGCTTCTGCTTGAGCACTTAAGGTGTTTCCTTGACTTTCCTCAGCGGGAGTTAGGGGTCCTTATCTTCTTCTCTTGTCGTGGACCAAACCCTCCATAGCTTGGCTGGGGATGGAGAGCTAAAGAGGGCAGGCAGCTGTTCTCCTTTGTGCAGTGGGACTTGACAAATGCTTCAATGGGGCTGACAGACTTGGCAACCCAAAAGCAGAGTTCCCAGCTTTCCTGAACCACAGCCTTTGCATGGGTGTGGGTCCTGTGGCACTGTGGCCCAGCTGGCCATGCTGGTGGGTAGTGTCATGGAGGGGGACAGACGCCTGGGAGCTTGTTCCCAGTGCCGGGGCAGCTGGGCACCAGTTTTTCCTCCTGAGATCCTGAGGCTCGTTAGCACTCTGGGGCCCTTCAAAATGAAAAGAAAGGTAAAGAAAGACTTTTTATAAGAGGTCCAGGTGAAGCCTGATTTCAGGGGGACTCAGATGCTCAGCTACCCATCGGAGCAGGACCCCCACTGCATCACAGTGTGGCTGGGCCTCCGATTCCTCACCCAGCCTGGTTTCTCCCTGGCAGGAAAGCCAGAAGCAGTATGAGCTGGAGTACCAGCGCAGAGCCACCAACCTGGATAAGTGCATGGCAGAACTGTGGAGAATGGAGAGGGCCCGTGATAAAAATGTCCGGGAGATGAAGGTGAGCAGCAAGTGCAGGAAGGGGAGTTGGAAGAAGAACTGGGTGATTTATTTGGAGCCAGGACTGCTTTCTGAGCAGTCTTGTCCTTCCCTAAAAGCCAGGGCGTTGTCCCCAGTGTTCAAAAGGCAGCGGGCTTCTCTGGAAAGGAGGAAACTCCTTTTCTGCAGGGTGATGCTGACCTGTGGCACTCACTCCTGCCAAGCTCTTGCCTCATTTAGCAAGCTTCAGTGAGCAAGGACTTGGTCCGTGGCACTCTGCTCTAGCTCCTCGGTGCTGCTCCAGCACTGTGAGTGGACTGGGAAGCCGGTAGACACGATGACCTGTATCACCCCTTCCCCTGCCATATGTGAGCCCGCTCTGCCGCATTTACACTGATCCCTTCCTCCCGCTTTCCCCTGTGGCCCAGGAGAACGTGATGCGACTGCGCTCGGAGATGCAGGCGTTCGTCTCTGAGAGCCAGCGGGAGGCTGAGCTGGAGGAGAAACGCCGCTACCGCTTCCTGGCTGAAAAGCACCAGATGCTCTACAACACTCTCCTCCAGTTCTACGGCAGGGTACGGCCCCGGCCTGCCGGGGAGCGGAGCCCGGGGAGCAGGCAGCGTGGCTGGAGGGGAAAAACGCAGGCAGGAGGGACCCGGGGCTGAGACTCCCCTTGGGTGAAGGCAGCATCTGTGTGTGGACTGGACAGGAAACTCGACTTCGTTTCTTGCTGTGGGGTCCAGGCTGACTGTACTGGGCTGAGAGAGCATGGCTGGGGGTGAGGATGGTGCTCGCGTGGGGTTAGCTGGGTGTGTGAGTGATGGGAGCGGGAAGGGCGATGTAGGTGTTTGTGGCGGGGTCATTCAGACCATGAGGTCTCTGCTGGAGGGTGCCAGCCTAGAGATTCACTCCTGCAGGGCTTGTTTAGCCATTCCCACAAACTTCATTGTGAGAGGACCTGGTCCCTAATCTAACGCAGGTGGCAGCCCTGGGCTA